GGGGAAGAAAACAGCAGTCTCAGTCTGTCACCGAGATAGACCCAACGCAGCAAATGATATGAAAGCGCCAATCAATGCTTCTTGAGACCAAAACAAAGGAAAGAGATGATATTTTGGTGATTCATAGCACAGTATGGTATAATGTTAATGGTCTGGCCCACTTTACATCTACCGAGTCCGTATGTGGCCCACAATGTGAAATGAGTTTGACACCCCTGGTTTAGTCAGTTTTTGCGTGGCGATAGAGTAATCCCTCGCTTTTCGCGGTTAATTGGGACCAGAAACCCCCGCGAAAGATGAAAACCTCAGATGATTCAAGTTGCCCCTAGTATGTTTCTCTGTAATAATATACCTTGCGTTTTCTAAGTTGTGGTGTCTTATTTCAAGGGCCTTTTTTTTTTGTTTATTTCAGCCACATAATGAGAAGATAAAGACATACAAGACATACAGTAGTTGTTCACATGAAATTATAACCTAAGAGTGCCGTCAAGTAAATAAGCGCTTTATTTTATGAATCCAAAAGAGTAGTTCCGAATTGACGCCTCAACGTTGGCTGTTTCCGTCGTCAATCTCTATTCAGGATGAAAAATGTCAGCGCTTTGGGTCTTGTGCTTATTGCGGAGGACGTGGATCTTGTGTTGCGCTTACGACTTTTTGGGATTGTTCATAAAATATGAGATGAAAATGCTGAAACCCTTCTCTACAATCATGATGTCTTCTTTTCCTGATTTATCCGCTTTTCTGAAACTGCATATTTAATTTTGGCCGAAGACATTTGCACCGTATTGTATCTCACTGACATTTCGACATTATTTTGGTGTTCTTTTTCTATGTGTTATGAGATGCCAGAAATTTGACTAATCCAGTATTTGTCCATAAACATTTACTTCCACCTCCAAATGATTCTTGCCAATTTCAGGTTATTCTGAAGTTTGGAATCAACACTTGAGCACTTGCCTTGTCTCTAAAGCTGATATGAAATAGAGCTGCAACTTGCCACTCACTTTAAGAATCGATTTTTGTGTCGTGTATTTTGTCAATAACTGAATCAGATTAAAAAATAAATAAAATTCCATCCCTTATAATAACAAACAGGACATGATTTTAAAATCATCATGCAGAAAATGAACAATCATCAATTCAAGATAATTATTTTTTTCATAGAATACCAGAATATCTATTGTGGTTTATCGTGATATAAAATGGCCGATATCATGATCGATTTTTTTTAATTTTTTTTTTTCCTCCCAGTCGTCCAGTTCTAAAACGTTGTGCTGTCGTAGCGGAACAGCGTGTGTTTGTGTGTCTATGTGATCTCAGCTGGTTATTGTTATCGATAAGATTTGCAGGACTCCGTGGCAGTCAATGATATCTCACAAAAGCCCCGATCCACAGAACCCAGTGCAGGAGTGGGGTGAAGAATCGGAGGACGGTGCCGTTTACGGGATCACGCTGCACCGCGTCCCCGTCCCCTCCTCGCCCTCCCGCTCCAATCCATCGGGCGCGTTCGTCCAGTACCGCACCAACAAAGTGCGGCGTCTGAAGGCCGCTCGTCTGCAAATGCTCGTCAATCACCTCCTGGATGCCGACCGTCTGGAACAGGACTACGGCAGGATCTTCCTCTCCACGTACAGAACCTTCACCAGCACGGCTAAACTCTTAGAGCTCACCTTCCAAAGGTAGAATCACTTTTTTTTTCTTTTTTTGCCGTCCACATAGGTGATGTCTCATGATACATCGATACCCAAAGACACGGAGTTGCCAGTTTTAGGCAAAATGAAGCGAACACGTTGCCTGCAAGGTGCCCATGACTCAAAGGCTCACAAAACAACAATTATTCTGTCCCGAGAGGCTGAGAGTGCGCTTGGTCCGACTCGAGTGCAGGATTAGGAAAAATCTTGGTGAAAATATAATTGCATGCAATTTGTCTTCCCTCGTGTCCCCCTGCAGAGACAGTGCAGCAGCAGAATTGGAAAATGGGGAATGCAACCCGGGGTAGGTGGATTTTTTTAGGGTTTTTTTTTTTGCATATCGTTGGCATCAGGTCGGAACCTCCTTTGCCACAATTTGGCAAATGTTCTATTTTTTCACAAATCTATCCTTTTGGTCAGTCCATATATGTGCGTGTTTATTTTTGTTTTTATTTTGATTTATGGGCGTCACGGTGACGGACCGGTTAGCAGGTCCTCCTCGCAGCGCAGAGGTGCAGGGTTAGATAAGATAAGAAATCCTTTATTAGTCACGCAGTGGAGACATTCCCAATTCACAGCAGCAAAGTTATGAAAGGAAGAGGTAGAAGAATAAAATATCGGAGCTGCCGGAAAGGCAGCCACTCTCGCGGCGCCATCTTGAAAGTCAAAATAACAAAATAACACAACACAACACATAAGACACAGACAGTCCTGCAATCTTAATCACTTTTCCTGCATACACTTTGTTTTTTGAAGCAGTTTATAGATGAAAGAGGAGAGGATCGGTGCAAGGGTTCCTCCAGACGCCCGCGATATGCACGTTAGCTTTTCAGTCTTGAACGTAATGTGAATGCGCTCATGATTTTCCCACCGCCTCCCCAGTCCTCTGTTGGCCTTCGTCCAGACGTGGCTGGACGAATACAGCGAGGACTTGAGGGATCCTCCGCTGCACTCCGGGCTGCAACTTCTTTTGGATCACCTGAGGATCAGCTCCGCCGTGCACGACCGACTCCACCGTCAGCCGAACTTCTGTTCGTTGGCCGGGCAAACTGAAAAATTGCTTCGGAGGTTCCGGAATGAAGGTGCGCCTCCATCTTAGTGAGCGTACGTGTGATGATGTTTTCGTGACGCAGACGTGCTCATTTTTTTTTTTTTTTTTTTTTTTTTCCCCCTGTTTTTTTGGGAAAATCTGCCACACGGGTGGAGCGTACGTGTGATGATGTTTTCGTGACGCAGACGTGCTCATTTTTTTTTTTTTTTTTTTTTTTTATCCGCCTGCTGATTCGGCAGAATCTGCGACACGTGTGAGCCGACCGCAGGAGCAACTTTCAGGCGACGAGGATTCAGGATGTGAACACTCACAAGATCAAGGTGACATTGGGGATTTCTCAGCAAGAGCCATCGCAGAGGAACTCACCCGCATGGACTCTGTAAGTGCGCGGAGATGATCTTGACAAATATGCCGAGGTTCACTATTTGGCGATTTCTGTCTGCCTGGGTCAAGCAAAACTCAACTTGCATCAACCTTTTGAGGACTTTCAAAGCACGGTTGCCGTTTTGTATCGTTTTCTAAAGGCTACCGTCTTTGGTTCCCAGGCTTTATTTTCCAAAGTGGCTCCTTACCAGTGTTTGGGCTGCATCTGGTCACAGAGAGACAAGAAGGAGAACATGTCCCCCACCATCAGGGCCACCGTCGCGCAGTTTAATCGCGTGACCAACCTGGTCATCGTGTCCCTGCTGCGCCGCCCCGCCCGCGCCGCCTCCAGTGCGACGCCGCCGCAACGAGCTCGGATCGTGGAGAAGTGGATCCGCGTGGCGCTCGTGAGTGCTGCCGATGCTTCCCTGCGTGTCCCGCGCCATCTCGAAAGTACGGTCAGCAGGGCTGCAGCATTTGTGTTTGTCTGCAGGACTGTCAGCGTTTGAAGAACTTTTCCTCCGTCAAGGCCATTCTGTCCGCCCTTCAGTCCAATGCGGTCTACAGACTGAGAAAGACCTGGGCTGCAGTTAGCAGGTAAAGTCCATTTTCCATTCCCCCCGAAAGGCAACAATCAGCAGGCCCCCTCCACGCCTATCGTTTATGTCACGCTCTCCGTCGTAATTGTCTTTTAACGAAGGCAGTGAACCGTCATCAAGGGCAATGTCAGCAAATGACTTGCACTTGGATGTGGGTCACATTATACAGCCTTGCACCGAGCTCGTAAAATGCCACGGATCAAAAAAGCCAATCTTAATCGTGTTTTCTCGCTGACATAACGCCCGCGTGCTCTGAACTCTAGCTCATCATGAAATGGACGACTTTTTTTTCCACCTGCATGCTACCCCCACCGCCCCCTCCCGCGTTGTTTCTGCAGGGACAGCATGTCTACGTTTGATAACCTCTGTGAAACCTTTCCTGATGAAAACGGTCTTCTGACCAACAGGGAGCTCCTGGTGGAGGTGAGACCTAAAATGAAAAACGAGAGCGAGAGCTGTCGTTCTCACGAAGCACGTAGCAAACACTTCACATTGGCACGAATACAAAAACTCCACATATTGAAATGTTCTTCTCAGTACGGTCAATATTTTGACACTGTCCTGCTATTGTTCAACAGGAACAACCTTTGTGACCTGCCTACATTTTTTTTTTTTTGAGTTAATGTTCACCTGAGTAAATCCACTGAGTTTTGACACCCGCATTCCTTGAAAAAAAGAAAAAAAAAACAAATCTTGAGTGATCTTAACCGAGGCTTTCGAAAGCACCGCGTTGGAGCCGAGTGCACAACGTGCGCGTTCAGTGCATCGGAGCCATCCACAGGTAGTGCAGTATGTAAAGTGGAAATGAATGACTGGCGCTTGGTAAAGATTGATTTTTCGCTTCTAGTTATGATGAAAAGTCACGTTTTCAGTTTGCGTTGATCGAAATATTGACTGGGGGGGAAAAAAATGGAGCGTTTCAGTCGTTTATCCCTTGTCCTGCTGTCGTCTCCTTCAGGCAATCGAAGTGGCCTCAGGCAGGCGTGTGGAGATCACCGAGGTCACCGTTGCGCACTCCCACTTATGCACTGCATGAAAATGTTCAACGCGGACTTCCTCCCTAGTGGAGGAAAACAATTAAACGGCCTCTCAAAGTTAATGTGTCCCAAAAGCTTGTCAACTGGAATTCTCGTTGGCACGTACGTTCCAAGCATCAAGCGACGGCTCGGTTTGTCGACCTCAAATTCAAGTGAACACGACCCCCCGTGACCTCCTAATATTTCTCCCAAAATATCTGAGCGGTTTCATATGCAGACATCGAAGCCTCGGGGAGGTAGCGAGAACTTTTACGATTTAGAGTTTTAGAAATGTATATTCAATCATGCACGACAGGATGTGGTCACGCCATCTCTGATGGCAGCATGCACAAAAAAAAAAAAAAAAATCGCTCTGCTACGATGCTGCTCCGCAAAGGAGATGATTTGACATCGGCGTGTGGTGCCTCGACCCAAAACTATCTTTGTCCCCGTCGTGTGCTAAACAAGTTTCATGTGGCCGCAGATCCGGCGGGATTATAGGCCGGTAATAATAGACTCGAGCGGAGCGCTTTATGAGTCATCTCCATGGGCTCCTGGGCTGAAACATGAGCCAGCAGGCCGGCCGGCACGGAGCAATAAACCTTGAATGAAAGTAGGACACGCGCGGCCGAATAAACCGGCATTTGTTTCCATGCAGAATACGTCCGGTGGAGCGGTGCCTTACCTGGGCACCTACCTGACCGTCCTCACCATGCTCGACACAGCCCTGCCGGATACCGTGGAGGTATATCCCCGACATCGTCTACCCAGACAATGTTTGACGCTCATCCCTGACATTGGCCCCGTTCCTTTATCGGGATTTATTTTGTATTCCGTGACATGCGCGTGGGAAATGATTGACGGTTATTCTCCCCAAGAGCAATTACAGTACGTCGCCGGTAGCTAGCGCGACATAACAAAACCAAAATAAATGGGCAGAAAAAGTCATTCCCACACGGCTGTTTATAGCTCATGAGGAAAATCCCGCGAGTGAATTTTCCACTTTCACTCCGGTCGAGGAGCAAAAGTACTTTGAATCCATTTTTATACTGACGTTTTCTATCAATGGACGTGATCTTTCAAGGTCAACCGTGAAGTCATTTTCGAAAATCCCAAATGAAATATTTTGATGGCACAAGTCATTGAAAAGAATGAATTTCGACCAAGTGATCGATCGTTCTCCCGACGCGAGATCCTAACAAGCGTACACGTACGATACTTTGAATCGGATATTTTGAAAAACAACAGTGAGAGCTATTCACTGATTAGCACACGTCCCCTTTTTATATTTTCTTCTCTGTTTTTTTTTTGCGCTGCTTCAAATGAAGAAAGTTGTACGTGTTTGTTTTATTCATATGATGAATGTTTCGACAGGCTGGACTCATCAATTTTGAGAAGAGGAGGAGGGTGAGTTGCTACGAAGCCCCAAATTTCTTGTTCGATTGTTTTCTCGCGACTGTTAAATACTATGCAAAGTTACCAACGTGATAGTTGTTTCAGTGAGGATACCAGAGGAGTCGTTTTTTTTTTTTTAAATTCCGTTTCTCTAAAAGACGTCTGTTCCTGCAGGAATTTGAGGTTCTGTCACAAATCCGGGATCTGCAAGCGTCCTGTACTCAGTTCCACCTGCCTCATCACCCCACAATTGCCGCCTGGATGCGGGGGCAGAAACTGCTCACTGACCAAGAAAGGTGCGCCGGAAGACATTTTGTTTTTCCTCAGCAAATTCCAAATCGCATCACCGATGCCATCACTCACAAGAGGAGAAGTTTGTGCAACTGCTTGTCATGAATCTGCACGTCGTCATTTTGTGGAAAATGTCCATGGCTCCTGCTGTTGAAAACACGAGCGCCTGTGCAGAGATAAACGTGGCCTCCTTCGCAGTGGTGTCACACACCTTTTCCTTCCAAGTGAACACCCGTCAGGGATGCAGAAGTATCGATTGGCTGTTCGACTGTGTAACAAATATAAAATTTTTTTTTTTTTACAGTCATGAACTTTCAAGACAGTTGGAGCCTCCGGCGGATGTGTGTTCGCCAACCACTTGGACCCACCGAACGCTCACTAAGAAACTTTCCTCGTGAGTATCATGCGAAAATATGAGGTTCGCCGAGCCAGTACACGGGCGCGCGCACACATTCACGTGCTTTAAAAAAATCTTTCCTTAGTCTCTTGACAATGGGCGATGGATCCAAAAAGCTCCCAGCAGACCAGATCAGCGTTTCATCTTCGGGATCCAGCGGTTCTGAGTTGGAAGATCTTTCCTCTCCAAACTCGGCCTGTTCCATCAGACTGCAGGTAAACCACACTCTTTCTCAAGAACTCGCTTAAATCAAAGCACAACTTTGAAAATTAAAGCAGCGTGTATTTTACATTTTCCTTTATGGTTACTGTGAGACCGTGCGCGGCCTATTTTGCCCAGAGCTGCTCTCGCATGTCTGTTGGGTCCAGTTAAAATGTGTTTACATTAGCTGGGTTCCAGTTCTATTTTGTTTCTTGCGTCTTGGTTTCACAGGACACATTTTGAAGTGAAATTATTTTCCTTGACTATTATTTTGACGGCACTCCCCTTGCTGATACTTTTGTCTTTTGTTTTGAAGAAGGTCTAGACAAGTGTCTAATAATCCGTGAAATTTTGCTCAGTCCTTCCACAGTTCTAGCAGCAATCTGTCAGAGGTCTTCTCTTCATCTTCCTCCTCCTCCTCCTCTTCATCGTCCTCTCCGTGCTCCTCGACGGCCTTGTCTCCGGACTGCCAAACTCCCTCGGGCTCGTCTTCGGACTCCCTCTGCTCCTCGGCGGCTTCCCGTGTCACTACTCGGCCCTTGGCGGCCCCCCAGCACAAACGCTCCGTGTCCATGACCTCTCTGCCCGTCTACAACCGCCAAAGCGCCGATTCCTGCATCGTGAGGGTCAGCGTGGAACTGGGCCACAACAATGGCAACATGTACAAAAGTGTCTTGGTGAGTTTTCGTATGCTTCGTATCCCACAATTATTCATGGGGCGTTCCCCCCACGAGTGAAAGTGTGAATATGCTAATGCCAACATCCCGAATATGTGGGGGGGGGGAGGGGGGGTTACTGTATTTGCTTTAATGCATGGTTGACATTTCACATCCACAAGAGGAGTCAGGACAGTCATCCATTTAACTCTTTGTTGTGTGCGTTTCCATAGTTGACCAGCCAGGACAAAACTGCACATGTGATTCAGCGGGTTTTAGACAAACATCACCTGGATCACTTGAACTGGCAGGATTTCACTCTGGCACAGGTCATCTCGCAGGAGAGAGGTCAGAACACCGAAATACTATTTAAGAGGGAAGTCAACTGAAAAATGTGCTTCAAAGTAATGTTCTGTTCTCTGCGCCTTCGCTATCCCCAAAACGACAATCGGATTTAATTTTTCATTTATGAAATATGAGTTCAGCGTCAAAAGCCACCATTAGTGTCATCCGAGCCGCTTCATATTATGGAGGTGCTTCCTACGTTTGGGCTATCCCAATATAATTGTCCTTTTATTGGAAGTTTTGCGACTGCACAGTTGTAGCATATGAAGCGTCTGGTGCTTGTCATCGCCACATTTTGTCCTTTTGATCAGTAACTCGTCACGACGTATTCTTCGTCTGTCCCCAGAGTTGCTCATACCAGACAAAGCCAACGTCTTCTACGCCATGTCCACCACGGCAAACTTTGATTTTGTCCTGCGTCGCCTCCAAAAAGGCCACAAGAAACCACTGAGAGCCACGTCAAGTCTTGGGCGCTACACAAAATAGGACCACAAAAGCGACTTGGGAAACTCTTTAATAGTTGCAAAAGAGAAACGTTTCTTGATCCTCTTTTGCTGGTAACAAAGACGAGAACGTGTGAAGAAGCTCTGATGGTAGCAAAGATGGGGGGTGGGGCGCGGAAGGAAGCACTTTATGAATAATTCTCACTGCAATGGGGACTCAGGTTTCAAATACCTGATGTGCTGTGTGGGGTTCAGATGTCTGAAGAAATGTGTGAAGTTTTGTGATCCTCTCGAGGCGAGTTGTGCTCATATCACCGCACCTGAGCCAGCTGGCAAGTGGGTGGCGGTGTACTGTATTGACCCAGCAGCACCATGTTCCCTGGCCAGTTTCGCTGCACCTGCTGTTGCAGAGACATTCGGCACATTTGGATGACAGCCCTGACCGGAAGGTTGGCATTCCCCAGTCTGGTAACCGTGACAGCAAGAGAGACCTTGGAGAGGAACATTTTTTTCTGTGTTTTGTCTCTTTCATTGGTTGGTGTTTTTAATCTCACTGTTGTTCGCGTCAATCCTATTCTGATTGCATTTTTTTTTGTTTGTTTTTGATTCATGTTGTCTGCGTACTTTCACTGGGAGCCAATTGAAAACCTACACCAAGCACGGATGCCTAAATTTAAAATGTTACTGTTTTCTAATGATGTTGAGATGATTTAAAATGTTTTACAAATTATTTAAAAAATATTTCATGTAAGTGGTTCAGTCATGTGTGCCCTGAATGAAGCTGCTGCTCACATATGTTGTCTAATGCCGGAAGACAATTTGTACATGTTCTCATTTCAATAACTTCGGTTGACGCCGACAGTAAACACCCAGTGAGATGGGTCACAATGCTCATTTACAAGTGTGACATAACAGAAGTGGTACACAGAACACTATTTGATACAGTTTGAATTCAAAAACATTTTTCCTAATAAAAGAGAATGTCAACTCTGTAAAACAATAAAAAATGTGTAATTTCACCTATCTTGTGGTTAACTCTTGAACAAAAGTAATTTCACCTATCTTGTGGTTAACTCTTGAACAACCCCCCCAAAATGTCCTTTGGTCAGTTATGAACGTTCTTAAAACGGGTTTGATGCTTTCTTCATGTGCTCTTATCAGTTCGTTAAACTGCTAAATAAAGGATTAATCTGAATGATCATGTCAAAAAGTAGCTTCTTTCTCTTTCGCCATAAAGAACAAACACCCCCCAACTGCTACAGGTACATTTAGTATGCACACACAAACAAATGCGATCAAACACAAATCTCCGCGGCTGTGAACAAAACCACAGTTATCATTTGTATCATTGTGTTAGATTGCAAGCGTACCAAATGAGGTGGCAGAGGAGTGAGTGCAACTACTTGAGGACGAAATGGTTAGATGTAACCTGTGGGACACTAGGACCCAGGATCCCCCACAGGGCGCAGACAGATGCCAGCCTACCTTTACCAAATCCCGCGAGATTTCCTCAAACTCACGTTTGTTCTTGCCAGGTATGCCGCCGCCTGACGTCAAATGAGTTCTGGTTGTCCCAATTGAAATGCGCGAGAAATGGTTGTTGTCCCAAGTGCAAATGGATCATCTGTCGCCAAGAGATCAAAGAATTTAAGTAAAGCAGACCTCTGTAATAGCCTGTAGCAGCAGAGAACCCCCCTGAACGCGTTGACTATTGATGAGGTGAGAATGTTCAGTCCATTTTAAATGGTGTTTTATTTCTGAGTGTCTGTACGAGGATTTAGGCTGAACCATTCCCTTGTTTTGCAGGCGCGCCATTACACAGCCACTGTTGTTTCTCTCCTACAAACTTTGTGTCAAAAAATAGGCATGCATGGGCTCCCTTGTAACTCTGTGCCAGAGTTACAATTACTGATGCCAATTCGCAGTCCCTTTATCGGTGTGGTTCATCTTCGTGTTTGCCGTGAAATACATCTGAGTGGCATCTTTGCAGTGTCTCTATTTTACATCTGTTTATTGTGTCATTTGTGCACACAGTATTTGGCACAATAATTCTTCTTAGTGGTTTCCAGACCATTGGCAGAATTCTATACTTGTTTTAATAGTACGAATTGTGGAAAAAAAAATAAATGTCTTTACATCTGCCTCTGCTACCTTCCTCCTCTATTGAGAACCCTGAGCAGCGATAAATTCAAGTGACATCCAGTTTTGGGGCTCTCCGTTACGATTTAAAAGCCCTTTATAGATATACCATCCTATTAAGGTTTCATATGGATGCAAAATACAGAATAATGACAAGAGGAAAGTACTGCAATAAAAGACTCCAGGTAAATTCCTGTTGCGCTTTAAGAAAAACGGCCGTTAGGTGGTGGTAAAAGGTTGCATTTGACCCACTTGCAAACTGGTGTGAAGCGGCTGTACTGCTATCGAGTCGCCGCCTGGGGGCGGAATGCATCTTGGTTGCAGTCACCGCTCCAGTTTGGGCGCCTTTGTGATGTGGAAACGGAATTCAACATTAGCAGATGCGTCCACACGTTTAGGAAGGCATCACTTTAGCCATGCACCCAAATATGAAGTTGCTTTTGTTTGGATGGACTCTAATGTATACGGCAAGCCCTCGCTGGTTGTGCTCTCTCGTAAGACAATTCAGCACATAACTCATGTAACCATTTTCCATTGCAAGTGCCACCTACGGCCTAAAAACACGCAATGAAACCCCACTAGTTAACTACTGTGCTAAATAGGCATGTGTCATCCACTGTCTTGCAACCTACCCATAGGACCAAATGTCTTCTAGTAGTTTTGCCTGACTGGTGATATGTTTTTTTTTTTTTTCTTCTTCTGGTATGCCAGTTGGGCTACCGCATGTCATGCAGGGGTGAAAGGTCAAAGTAGAGAAAAAAAAACCCCATTACTTCAGATACAAGTGGTGTGGTAGCTGAGTCATTAGCTTGTCTGCCTTCCAGATCTCAGTTAATTTAAGTGTTCCAATCTGGGCTTCCTGTGTGGAGTTTGCTTGTGTGGGTTTTCTCTGGGCAAAAACATGCTGCTTGGGTTATTTGTTAATTCTGAAAAACGGATTAAAAAAATACTTTGAAAAACAACAGCAACAAACAAATATGACATAAGTGAATGCAATAACCTTCCGTCCCATAGTATGTGCTGGTATTACTTTTTTTTTTTTTTTCTACTCAGCAGCGGGACAGAGTTTTCCACATGTGGGTGTTATTTGATTGGGGTGCCCAGGTCAGCATTTCCTCCGGAGAAACAGAACACTGCACTCATGTATTATGCATGTGTGTGAGGTTCAGCCATTTGTGCAAACTGGCGGTTGCATCCGCGACGCCCTCTTTACCTTCGATGTAGCGTGCCCCACGGACGCAACTTGAAAGGTCTTATCTGGATTTGTCAAGGGAATCCCTCACGCGGGTCTCTGATGATTGATGAGACATGGAGTTTGGCTGTCAGTAAAATCAATGCTGCTCACCTCTGCCGACCTGAAAATGTCCTCAAAAGTCAGGGGACCTGTGAGTTTACGTTGTGTGCGTTCTCAAAACAAATTCCCACCTGGTCGTTTGTGCCTTATAAACTCAATAGGATAGTCTTGTAAGATTGTACCCGAGTTCCGCCTATGACTTTTGTTTGCACTTAAGTGGATGTCATGCAGGGGCAAGACGGTGCCCGAGTGGGGAGATGGCCGCCCCACAGTTCTTCGGTGTGGGGTAGCTGTTTTTTCTGCGTCACCCTTGTCCTCGTAACAACGCCACCTGCAACGTGTTGGGCAACGCTATTGTCACATCTCTTTCCACTCTTGTAAAACGGAAGACATGCAGCTGCCCTCCACTTCACCTCCCAAGAAGACCTTCAGCTGTTTTTACCGTCAACGGCCAGATGAGTTCCTGTGTGTTTATGTTGCTGTCGTGCGTTTCTTTAACTGATTTAATGCTTTGTTTTTAATCCCGGCTATATGTTTCCCTCGCGCCCGCCGGCTGCAGAATGTGCTTTGAAACCAGGTCAGCGCTCTGTTTGCATGTGCACACAATTGATAAACGCAACCTTCTTCCCCATTCCTAGAAGAGGAAGCTGAAGGTCACGCCGCTATTCAAACACATGCACGTGTACACCTCACACACAATGAAAAATTAAACAGGACTTGAATTTGAAACGCGTCCGTCCCCTCAGCGGACACGCACGCACACCTCACACTTGTGTAGAAACTGAATGGTTGCACCATGCGATTAGGAACCTACGATTCAGTTTTGGCATGAAGGGGTGAAAGTGAGTCCCCACCTTAATGATGACATTTCACATTTGCGTGCACATTCAAACTGATGCGTGTGTGCCTGCATACGTTTTTTTTTTTTAAATCGGCGTTAAGCACTGAACTTGTCAACTTACTGTCTTATTTTAGACAAGTAGGCAGGATTGTGCACATTATCTTTAAGGTTGAATTTATACTCTGTGTGTGTGTGTGTGTGTGTGTGTGTGTGTGTGTGTGGCAAGTGAAAGAGTGAGCCTCCCCCCCAGCGTGAGTCATAGCGTGACGTGAAGGGCCTGTGTCACTCACACGCTCGGCCTCAGCACATGGCTCTTCGACAACACACTCCCAGCCTTCACGTGCTGCGCTTCCCCCTTCCTCTGCCCCCCCCCCTCGTCTTTTACGCAGAACCCACCTTGGCTCTGCCTCCTGCTGCGCAAACAATGCTACCGATAATATATTCCACTGCTTCCTCATTGCATTTCTCTCTCTTTTTTTTTTTCTCCTTGTTTCCAGTCAACATTCAACAATGCAATTTATTTTTATTCCACGCAGGTTCACTTTGTTCCTTTCACTCGTCACTGCGGCCGCCTCGGTTTTAGCCTGTTTTTAGAGGTTGAAGTCATGCCCGAGCTCAACCCAATTATTTTATGGTTGAGCTGAAGATTTCAAAAATTAAAAAGATGACTGATTAGTAACTGATTGAAAGCAGGAAATGGAAAGCCACAAGTTCCTTTGAGGAGCGTTTCTTCGAAAAGTTTACGGCTGAGAAACTGGAAGGAGGTCACATAAAATTTGGAGAATTGCTGACAGGCTCACACGACCTCGCTAATAGTTTTCCGATAATTAAATGGGCCTTATCCCCTCAAATGGCTCATTTTCAACACGTTTCAATGAAGCTTCAACCATTCGAGCATCTCCTTGTCCATGACTGAGGGTGAAGTTTACTTTTCTTCCTTTTTTTTTTTGGTCATGAGCAAGTGGTGAGAGACTAGTTTTTCCCAGGTCCATTCATCCAAGCCCTCGTGAGCAAAATCCCGACTTAAAGTCACCTCTCATCATGGGCGTGCATCCAGTGCGTGGGTGTTTATCTGCCTTAGCCTTGTTTTGGTCAGACTTTCTGGACAGAAACACGGCACGCACTCTGGGCATAAATCCAATACAGTATAGACTTAAAAACTTGGCACACTTTGTTTGTCTTTTGCTGCATAAAGGAGAACTATGATTTTTAAAAAAAATATATATAAAACAATGCCAAGTTGTCCCAATAGATGTTCTCCACCATTCTTTGGCCAACATTCACAAGGGATTTAAAAAAAAAAAAAAAAAAAACAATTACGGCAAACTTAACACTAACTTTGGTTGAAATCACTCAATTTTAGGATGGTGGCTCTGTCCCATGCAAATGGACCTGACACATTGCCAAACATAAAGATCGAACCCCTCTTGGTGACAACGTAATCGATACATTCTGAGTATGTGCCGGTTATCAGAAACTTAACTCTGTTCCCTCATGCTCATCTTTGCTAACCCTGTACCTGTGCTTGCCTTTTAGGTTTGACGCGACGGTGCTTCCTTGTGGAAAATGGAGGATTTTTGCCAAGCCGAGACAGTCCAATCACGGTTCAGCAAAACGGCGTGCGGAAGGTATGATGACACATACACTGATGCATCACAAACAAGAGCCAAAGTCCGTGAATTGCCGTCTTACGGACGGACGTATGCTAAGCACCTCAGAGAGGACTGACTTCATTGTGGA